GGCTGATCTAAGTCAGGGCATGGCTAACTCTCAGATCAAACCCTGAAACAACTTCTGAGCTGATCTAAGTCACTTCAGGGCATTTACTTTGAGCACCCTGTATTTCCAATGGTAGTGTTTTCTTTGTTTGAGATGGCCATGCAAGGATAAGTTACTAGTATGTCGTCTTCTAATGAATGTGTCACAAAATAGGCCTTTTTTCCAATTTGCTTTAGTGACCCAAATTGAGGGCCTAACTTGATAAAATACAGTAAATGTATGAACACATCAAGTCCATCCTCCACTTGGAACCATTGGTTACTCAACCAAATTCGGGGAAGGGTTATTTTAATCAGAAAGCTAGAATTACCTGTACTTTCTCGACCAATGAGAATTCAGATAGTGAATACTATGTGTAATAATTTCTCTTATTTGAAGGTGGTTCTAATGTGTATGGAGATGTTTGGAGCTTAAATGTCCAATATCTATAGCTGTAGGCAATGTTGTGTGCTCTTCAAATATTAACACTCAATTGCAAAATTTGGAATTTGATGATGTCATACTTTGGTACTCTAAAAAAAATGTTGTAAAGTTTACAACATGAGCGGGCGTGTTGTATCGGCTATACCATGTCAATCACATGCCGGAGGCAAGTCCGGCCAATGCAACACGGATGCAAATGTTGTAAAAACAACTTGTGAAATTCACTAATAATTCAAGAACCCTTTGGGAAATTTTGCATTCATATACTAATTAGATACATCCACTAGCTTGTATCTAATTTGCATTTTCATTTTTACATGTCCTTCATGTGACTTGATTTTCTGAAATTTGATTGGCTTAGACCCTCATGAATTATTCATGAATTTTTCAAATAATGAGGTTGACCGTTCTTAGCCACACAAATTCCAACACGAATTTCCTCCAGTTTTGAAATCCCGTTGAAATCCTGTTTTTCTTTCAAAATTTACACATGTTTTTGTAGTAAATTTTTTTTTCTTTGTAGTAAAAAAAAACAATTTCCTGCGGTTTTCCTTGGTATGCCCTCTTATTTACCACTTTCTTCGTCATCTAGCCGTCAAATTTTTGTAGATCACGAGGCGTATTTTGACGGCTAGATGACGAAGAAAGTGGCAAATAAGAAGGCATACCAAGGAAAACCGCAGGAAATTGTTTTTTTTTACCACAAAAAAAAACAACAAAAAACAAAAAACTACAAAAACAAGTGTAAAATTTGAAAGAAAAACGGGATTTCAAGCACGCACGTGATGTGCTGACGTAAATTATCGGTTAGTCTTCCTATTTTCCCCGGCTCTAGACCAATCAGAAAGCGAGAAAATTCACAATAGTGGTAATAAAAGTCAAAACTTTAATAGTGCAAACCTATTGACCTTGTATACTGAAGTCAAAGGCTCCTTAGTGCTGCAGTCGAGCTAGAAAGCCAAGACCTAAGTATTGCAACTGGTTTGTATATGAAATCGCGCAGTCTCGAGTACAATTCAGAATTTATAGGTACGAGTGACGTTTTGAAAGTTTTGAATTTAAGAACTTTCAAAACATCACGAATATCTATAAAATTCCCAACATGTTCGAGAAGATTGTGCGATTTTTTGTCTATAAATACGTTCGACAAAATTGAGCTTCTTAATTGGGACTCTACAGAGTACAATTTGGGATTTAATTGTACTCCTCTTGTCCAATCAGAATCGAGTGATTTTGTTGAGTGTATTATTAAGTAAGGAACAGAAGCACCATCACGTGTCCAAGCCCATAATCCAGCTTCCACAGCATATCGGAGCAGGCAAACTTAATCATCATTGGACGACCAGACAGTCACATTGAGAAGGCATGACTTCAACTTACCATCCACATTCGTTAACGGAAGCTACTTATAATCATCGATGGATGTGATTAACATACCCATCGAGGATTATGAGCAGCTTCTTAACGACCCTCCTGGATAGATAGGACAAGCTTCATTTGAAAAACATTCTAAAAAGGACTATTGGACGACCAGACAGGCACACTGAGGAGGCACAACTTCAACTTATCATCCACATTCGTTAAGGGAGCTACTTATAATCAGCGATGGATGTGATTAACATACCCATCGAGGATTATGAGCAGCTTTTTAACGACTCTCGTAAATGAATAAAAGACAGTAGACGTTGGTAAAGAGCAGTGAAGTCTAGTAAGTGCATGACCACGAAATTACTGTTTAAAGTACCATGCAACATATTAGTTTATTTGACCAAGTAGGTAAAGATGGTTTTAGAACACTCAGGTGACAGACATTTCGGAGCAGGCAAACTTGATCTTCATTGCAAGATATTCTCAAATGTTCCACATTATTGGATGACCGGACATTCATTGAAGAGGCAAAGCTAATCATCCACATTCGTGAATGGAAGCTACTTATAATCATCGATGGATGTGATTAACATACCCATCGAGGATTATGAGCAGCTTCTTAACGACTCTCCTGGATAGACAGGACAAGCTTCATTTGCAAGACATTCTATAAGGTTCCAGACTACTAGACGAAAAAACAGTCACACTGAGGAGGCACAACTTCAACTTATCATACACATTCGTAAATGGAAGCTACTTGTAACCATCGATGGATGTGATTAACATACCCATCGAGGATTATGAGCAGCATCTTAACGACTCTCGTGGATAGATAGGACAAGCTTCATTTGCAAGACATTCTATAAGGTTCCAGACTATTAGACGACCAGACAGTCACACTGAGGAGGCATAACTTCAACTTATCATCCACATTCGTTAATGGAAGCTACTTATAATCATCGATGGATGTGATTAACATACCCATCGAGGATTATGAGCAGCATCTTAACGACTCTCGTGAATGAATAAAAGGAAGTAGACGTTGGTGAAAAGCAGTGAAGTCTAGTAAGTGCATGACGACGAAATTACAATTTAAACTACCATGCAACATTTTACTTTATTGTTCAAGTAGGTTAAGTTGGTTTTCTGTCAGGTGACAGACATATCGGAGCAGGTAAATGTGATCATCATTGCAAGATATTCCACACAAGCTATTGGACGACCGGACAGTCATTGAAGAGGCATAGCTTTCCATCCACATTCGTGAATGGAAGCTACTTATAATCATCGACGGATGTGATTAACATACCCATCGAGGATTATGAGCAGCTTCTTAACGACTCTTCTGGATAGATAGGACAAGCTTCATTTGCAAGACATTCTCTAAGGTTCCAGACTTTTGGACGACCAGACAGTCACATTGAGGAGGCATAACTTCAACTTATCATGCACATTCGTTAATGGAAGCTACTTATAATCATCGATGGATGTGATTAACATACCCATCGAGGATTATGAGCAGCATCTTAACGACTCTCGTGAATGCATAAAAGAGAGTAGACGTTGGTAAAGAGCAGTGAAGTCCAGTAAGTGCATGACGACGAAATTAATGTCTAAACTAACGAACCATAAAATATTTTACTTTATTTGTTCAAGTAGATTAAGATGGTTTTAGAACACTCAGGCGACAGACATATCGGAGCAGGCAAACTTGATCATCATTGCAAGACATTCTCAAATGTTGCACACTATTGCACGACTGGACAGGCATTAAAGAGGCATAGCTTATTATCCACGTCCGTGAATGGAAGCCTCTCATAATCGATGATCATAAGCAGATTCTGAACGACCCTCGTGCAGGAAAAGCTTAATCACCATTGCAAAACAATTGTCGGATTTCAAATCCATTATCTAAGTAAACAAATTAGAGCAATTATAATCTTTTAGTGACAGGCATCACGCGAGAGGAGAGTGCGTGTCGTGTTACGTAAGAAGGACGTACAGCGTTGTATATGTAACTTTGTGAGAGAGAAACAGTGATTAAATCGGGATCAACTTGTTGTTGAATGACCAGTTTCGACACAATCGAAAGCGTTCCACACTATTGAACGATCAGTCATTCATTGGCGAGGGCATAACTTTAGCTTATCATCCACATTTGTGAATGGAGCTACTTATAATCATTGATGGCTGTGGTAAACATATCCATCGAGGATTATAAGCAGCGCCTGAAAGACCCTTGAGGATTGATAGAAGACAATGGACGTTAGTAAAGACCAGGGCCCTGTTGTACGAAGGGTGGATAGCGCTATTCGGCGGATAAATCCGTATCCAGTGGATAAGTCGATGCTGTTATCCAATAAATTTATTCACTGAATAAGATTTATGCGTTGGATAGCGCTTTCAGCCCTTCGTACAACAGGGCCCTGTAGATAGAAAACAGTTGAGTAGAAACTAGTAAGTGACAATGTCATACATGTTTGAATACCCTAAGCTGAACAACAATAAAAAAAGATTAAAAGGAAGCATTTTCTTTCTCGAATGTGAACGGATAAAATGCAAGTTTGGGATAGAAAACCAGTCTCGCACATGCGCATTATGACAGAACACATAAAAACAAAATGGCGGAATATTATTAATACGGATACCATAAAGTATTTCGCATTGTATTCCAGACTAGTCCCGTTGTTGCTGAGGCGGTGAAAAAAATTTCCGGACTTAATACTTTAATTTATTTTGCACAATAACTTCATGCATTCTTCAAAATGTGTTTTATTGATCAGAATGTTCAAATAAAATACCATTCTCGCACCCAGAGCTCCTCGGTTTCGTTCCTGGCCTGAGGAGGTTCTTGTAACAGCCGTTTTTTCATTGGTGCTGATTGGTCCAAATAGCTTGGCATACGTAAACATCTCAAGCAGTTCGTGTTAAGAGCTGCTTCGTGATTGGAGGAATGTATTCGATGCCCAGATCTTTTTTTAGGTTTAGGATACTTCCATTGGAACAACAGGGTATGGTATACTATCTCCGATGAGGGTGATTTTACTTGACTCGTGAAACGAAGTTATATGATTACGAAGTTACAACCTAGGTGAAACAAAAGAAAACAGCATAATCAGTATCTAATACGTATCATGTTGACTATTAATGCACCATCTATTTTTTTACTTTGAGTAACGGGCTGCGAAATATACAGAGCCGCTTTGTGATTATTTTCTGAATCCTTTTTCTCAATAAAAGTCCGTAATTTCTCTGTACAAACACTGGAAAACCTCTTTTTTTTTTTGCTTCGAGCTGCGAGAATTTAATCTGCTCCCGCTTTGTTGTTTTTCACGTTCTGATTACGTGCACTTATCCATTTTCACCATTTTTGTAACGTGCAACTTAAGTCCCGACCGGGAAATAAGTTACTTATTTCCCGGTCGGGATACATTTAGATTTAACTTGTGTCACGTGGTCATCTTTCAACCAATGAGAGTGATCGTTATATCGGAAAATGTCGTAGCTATATAACAAATGTATATATGTAACCCTCGATTTTTGAGCGTATAAAATAATGACATGACAGCGGTGTGGTATGAAATATAAACTTTCAATATTATGTACAGCAACCCGAATCTGAGACGTTCAATGGAGCAAATTAAGGTCAATATTTGTTGTGATACTAGATATCAAGTAACTTATTAACTTAAAAGTCTTTACTAAGGTTGTCTGCAAACGAGTTGAGGCAGCAAGATGCATCGATCATTTTATCAGCTAACGTTTTTCAGCTTTCTCGTCGTCGCCTTTTGTTTTTTGGGCTTCGAAGGTAACACCTATCTGCACAATATAGCACTCTTACTGCAATTTTTATGGCATGCAAACTCTTGAGTCTCCGAGTTGCAAGATGAAATTTGTTTTTTTTTTGCTGCCGCCAGTCAAAAATATGAAAGGTACCGACTGATTATTTCTGATTGATGGCAGCCAAAAACCAAATTTCAGCGTGCAGCTCGCAACTACTGAGTTCGCAGAATATCGAAAATCGCAGTAAATGTGCGCTGAACATGTCCATTAACATTACATACAGATCTAGACGACCTTGTCCAGTCTTCCTACGAGGAAGTTAGGCATCAGAAGGATAAATGAACTTAAAAATATTGATAGAAAAAAAGATCAATATTTTGGCCCAATTTTGACAGATTCCTTTTCATTCCGGCCAATTTTCTTATTGTGTTTATCGCCTTGTGATTCGAAACGGGCGGTTCGATTATGTTTCCGCAGTAGAAGGCGGTGTTCGAACTACAATCGCAAAGCACTGTGGACTGCGTTTTGTAACTTTTTCCGCGTTTAAATGGAACATGAACGTGTTAAGTACGGTGAGTGTGATAATTTTTCAAGCCCCTATCGTTTTTATTTATATGATATTCAAGTCTTCATTATTTTATTTTTTTTATTTCTTATTTATGGTACCTCGTTGGAATAATGTTTAGATAATTAGATGTTGTTCTTCAAAGCTAGTAGACACTTCGATTCGACAGAATAAATCTTGAGAATCTTTCGTAAAAGATCTCGTCTTGATACGTTTCCTTATATAATGTTCCATCGCGCCTTAACGTGTCCCTTTCTATGAAGTCGAAATGACATTTTCAAATTTGTAATATATTCATGCGTAGGTTGATTTGTTTACTCGCTATGTGAAACAAGAGAGGACGTGTCTTAACGATTAGGTCCTTTCACAACTTCAATTCGCATAGAATAAGCCAGTTCAACTAGAAACCGTGGACAGCAGTTTCGGCCTGAATTTGGCCTCGTCAGCACGGTCTATCTAGTGAGCTGGTAGTAGAATCCCATAAATTGGAATTTAGTTTATTAAGTTTCCGGATGGAGAAAAACTGCTGAACACGGAGTGAAACCCTTGGAATCAAGGGAGAGACCTAACAAACTCTCCTTTCATGTGATACCGAGTGCAGGATATCAAATCCAAACCCCAGAGCAAATCCAATTCTCTTTATAGTACGATAGCGTTAATTGTAATAATTATTTACGATCCAGTACAACTCACAAATAGAGGCTTCAACATCGTAGACAATCTCTGCATTAGGCCATAGTCTGTAGTTGATGAATGCTCTTTCTCCTCTCGTCTCCAGTTCTACTCTTTGTCCTCTAGTTAGTTTGATGTCTCCCTCAAACARGTCCGGATCTTCGATWTCTCGATTTWCTATTGTAGATATTAATTTCGATCGTAAATATATTAAATCATCCAAAAAAAGAGCAAGTTAGTAAAATAATAAATAATATTCTATTTATGAAATGTGATTTTGTCACTCGGTAAAGATCTATATGTTAAGTGTATGCTACATCGAGTGTATAAGCAGATTAAAAAATCTGCCTCAGTTGGGTTCTATTTATTTTATTCTGTTCAATACTCAGCAGTTGATTTTTTCGAAGGAAAAAAAAATTAAAACCCATGAAAATAAAAAATAATAATTAAAAATATATATAAGATAAAAAACGATGCACAAAAGACGGAGATTGTTACCTTCRAATCCAGCAAGGGCTGAAGCCACGAGGAGAGATAACACAGCTATCTTCATGGTGTCCGAAAAGAATGTAGCTAGAGCCGTGAGATATGATCCTTTTTATATTCAATATCATCCTCATATCAGGGGGGTGGTTGTTTAATGTTTGGCTTATCACCAGAGTATCGACAGGGTTTCGTAATTGGAATCTGTTTTTCAAAAATTTAAAACAATGGTTTAAAGTAGGGACTTGATTTTATTGATTTAGGTGTGAAGTGCTGGTAAATACGCTCTACCTCTCAAGCTCCGTTTACAATGGCGATTTTTGCGGCGATTTTTTCTGCGATTTTTGTGGCAATTTTCGGAAATATGAAATATTTTGTCTCATCCTCAAACTTTACAAGTAAATTCTTTACCATTATTTATTATGGACAAAATCGTAAAAAAAAATCGCAGCAAAAATCGCCGCAAACATCGCTAGTGTAAACGGGGCTACAGAGACTCCGACCTGAAATACTCAAATGCATGGTGTATCATCTGTAGTGGCTATTACTATGCACCAATCAATACGTGTTTAGAATACATATAAAAAATATAGTTTTGGAAATATTGTAGGACACGATTAAAAACTAATTCAGTCGTTTTTGAAGATATTTGGAAAATTATTTTTGATTAAGGATTGGATAAAGTGACGTTGTTTGAATAAGAGGAGTTTAATTAACCTTAGTGTATTTGAAAACAGAAATGTGTACACCTTATTGCAGAAACATCATTTCTAATAACAAAAATACCAAATAAGATTAGTTAATTGCTTTTTTTTTCATGAGGCCTCTTTGATTGATGAGAATGACTGTTTTTGCATATTTCATTAAAGATATAGCGAAAAATGCTGATGTCTGCAAAACAATGAAAAAAATATTCCTGTTTTGTTTAAATTTTGTCTAAATTTTTAATCAGTTTCCCGCTATTTCGTTATTTTGGTTATTTTTTATTTTACATGTCACAACGTTCCAGCAATTATGTGTATGAACTTAATACCCCGTTTTACTGATACGGTGGAAATCTTGAATCATAATATGCAGTGGAGAAAAATAATAAAATTTATTAAACATAGAATAGCGGGAGTAGGTTTTCAAATAAATTGGAGTCTTGGTGTATGACATTGTTTCAACTACCAGCAAGTTCCATTGCTTTTTAGATGTGTTTCTTATTGAAAAGCGTAAATTTATATCAAAAGATACCCCGAAAGCTGTGCTTATAAGATTAATCTCCAATAATTGCCCTATCGCCATCTCATAATGTATTTATTAAAACAATATAATTCAAGATGGCCGACGTTCCGATAAAAACTTCGATTACAAAATCATTGTCAGGTCCAAAACTTATAACCTAGAAAGTGGGACCGAAAGGTATTCTGGGCAATGACATAATTATCATCTGTTGTATTTGAGATACATAGTCGATAAAAAAAACATGTGATGAACGCCTCTATGCTTTATTTAAAGTGCAAATGAACCCTTCGACAATACTTTCAGTACTGATTCTACATGAAGTAAATAGTTGAATGGTAAAATATTTCTTGATTTGAGTGATGCGTCTYTAAGTTATKAAGGTTTATACTTCCAATATGTTAATGATGATGACGTCAGGTAAGGTATTTGAGTGTTTTTGTTGTAACTAGTAATACTAAATTCTGGCCATTTTGAA